TTTACTTATTGTTAAAATGGCAAATAGAAAACTTAAATAAATAAATAAATAAATAAATAAATAAATAAATAAATAAATATCCGTTTAATTCTGAAAAATCCAGACCGGAAGCACACGTGACTACAGGATGTCAGAGGTGGGAGAACATAAAGAAAAAAGTTCGGATCTAGAAGCTGATTGGATGAAACGTTCCAGTGACAGCTGGGACAGCCAATCACATTTCAGAACAGAAACCACTGTTGCCTGCCAGAAGCAGCAGGTAAAGTCTTGTAGTTTTGTTCGCAGTTGGGCCTAAAATATCTCTTGAATGGAATCAAAATTAATACCAAAGTTAATTTTAAATATTATCTACAGAGTTTTAAAATCCGAATAGAAAATAGTGAAATCACGGGTGTATTTTTGTGTTGTTTGGTATGACAGCTAATTTTCATCATGTGTGAAAATTAGCTGTCATATTACGAAAATAAACAAAACACCTTCAGATACTATCGTTCATATTAATATATTTTTCACAGATACACACAAAAAAAACCTAAGTAAAACGCTAAAATATGTGTAATTACTCACACTTTCCGTCTGCTTCTCGTTCAGTGTGGGTAAAGGAGTTTTTGTTGACATCTTCGACAGACCTGATCTTAACTCGGGCAGCCGGGAAATAAAAGTGTTGTTGCTTCGCTCTGCAGCTGTGTGAGAAAAAACAGCCTCAGCATGGATCGTGACACTCTCTCCGAACCGGACCGGACCGGACGTGTTGGAGACAAACAGCTGAGATGAGACGAAACAAATAAAAACTCACTAAAGAGTTTAAAAAAAGGCCGTTTTCAGTTTTTACATGGCGCGTCCGTGTCCGGTTGTTGACCCGAAAAGGTGAAATTAAATCAGTGTCCGTTTGTCGGGCGGTCCGTGAAGGGGCCGTCGGCGTAAAAAAAAAAAAAAATCGCGACAGTTTTTATTTGTTTAGTTTTATCTTCACTCCCAGATTAAACCCGTTTATCCGCGGAGGTGATTTTTCCAGAGGAATTCAAAAAGTCCAGGAGACGCGGAGACTCTCCGCGGGCTCGGTTCCGTCCATCTCCAGCGGCCCGAAGAGAAGCGGCTCGGTTCTGTTCTAGGTGGGACCAAAATGGCTCCTGAGCGGCGGGGCGGGATTACGGTGCGTTCAAGAACCGGTCACGTGCTCGGACATACGCAAACCGGCGTTTTTCCTTTTTTCTTTGTCGCTTATACAACTATTTTTAATTTGACTAAACTTACAACATTTGACTCATGAATTTTGAAGCTGCGTAAGAAATCATAATGAATCATTAGGTTTGAATGAAAATTATTTAAAAATGTAATTTTATGAGAAAAAAAAACAGAAATTGAGAATTGAAGAATGGAGAAATAAAATTTTACCTTAACCCACAGGTGCAGATTTGATTAAAATAATATGTATTAATAAT